GGGGGGGTGGAGAAGGGGAGGAGGAGCTGCGATGAGGAGGGGGAGGGGCGGAGAGGGGGCGGAGCAACTGATGGGAGGGAGGGGGTGGAATAGGAGCAGCTGGGGAAGGGGGCGGAGCAGCTGGGGGTGAGAAAAGGGGAGGGGCTATGGGGGCGGGGTCGAGGAGCAGAGAGCTCAGTAACCAACCGCCTCACAATCAGCCCCCCCCCCGGGACGGGGCCGGCGGCGGCGAGATGACGTCACCACCCCGGCCGCCGGCCCCGCCCCCCGGCGTCGAAAGAGGCGTCCGCCCATTGGCTGCGTGCGCGCTGCGGCTGGGCCAATGACGAGGCGGCACAACGCGCAGGTTGGGCCTTGACGTTGTCGCCGCCGCCGCCGCTGCTGCCGCCGCCGCCGCCGCCGCCGCTCGCTGTGTGCCTCAGCCTCAGCCTCGGCCTCTGCCTCCGCTGCTGCTGCTACTGCTGCTGCTGCTGCCGCCGCCGCCGCCGCCGCTGCCGCCGCTGCCGTCGCCGGGTCCCCGTGAAGACGACCCGGCCCGGGTCCCCCTGTCGCCGCCGCCCCCGCTGTCCCCGCCGCCTCCTCCTCCTCCTCCTCCTCCTCCTCCGGGCCGCGCTCGGGCCTGACGAGACCATGTCCTGACTGAGGCGGAGGCGGAGGCGGAGGCGGCCGCAGCGGGCGCGGGCCCAGGCCCAGGGCGGGCGAGGCACGGAGGAGGGAGGCCGGGGCCGAGCAGGCCCGCAGCTCCGCGGGACGAGCTGCCGCCGCCGCCGCCGCCGCCGCCGCCTCCGCCCCCAGGTACCCGGGGCCCGCGGGGAGGGGGCGTGTGCGGGGAGGAGCGGAGCCCCCTGCCCGTGTCCCGGCTCCGAGTCTGCGGGGGGCCTGCACCCCAGCCCTGCCATCCCCTGCTGGGCGTGTCTGCCCCCCCCCCCCCCCCACGGACCGAGCTCGGGGCCCCGGTAAACAGACCCGGGCGGGAGCCGGGGCGGGTCCTGGGTCCCCGGCCCGATCCGGCGGAGGCGCTTCAGGGACCCGCTGCTCGGAGGATTCTGGTCCCGGCTCCTGCACCGAATCAGAGGGGTTTTCTGTGCCCAGCTTTGGGATCCATAGTTTTAAACGATGAAGGAGGCTGTTAATTGGGCGACACACATTGATCAGCAGCCTCCTGCCCAGGCTAGTTTTCGTATTGTGTAGCGGCCTCATTCACGATCCTGACCAGGGATGACACATTTCAGTCTTTTGATGGGTTTTTGAGTGTGAAAGGGACTCTGTTTCTGCCTCTCTCCTCTTTTCCCCCGTAGCCTCTCGAGAGTATTTACATACTCATTTACCCTGGTAGGTGGGGTTAAGGTGGTGGAGATCAGTTGAATGTGGGAACAGATTTCGTGGTTAAGACACTACTTCTTAGAAGTCCAAGATTTCATATAGGATCAGGTTGTGCTGTTGTACAGTATTTCAGGTGCTTAAATGTGTTCCGTTCAAGTATCCCTATTGAAGGTGGATGTGGTAAAGAGTGTCATCTACTGCATTTATAATAAAGGAGGATTAAGTAGACGAAGCTGTAAAAGTTGATCACTCTTTTTTCATTCTGTTTCCTCAGAATTCGTGCTTGGGTTTCTTTTGGTCAGGCAACCCCTGTCTGGGATAGTGAAAGACTTGTGTCATATGCGTTGATCTGGGATATTTGCAATTTTCTCTTCTGGAGCTTCCTAGCATAGTCTCTCATGCCTTTGTTTGGAGCCACTTTTATTTTCAGTGGTGTAGTGTTTTTGAAACATTCTTGCTCTGCTTTGTGTTTTGGACAAAATGCCGTTTTGTACGTCTCACCACCCCCTTCTCTAACCCCAATTCTGCTACTAAATACCACCCCTCAACTTCTGTTTTCAGTGGCTCCTTGCTGGCTGCAGCTTAACCTGATATTTAAAAAGCCTTCCCCGGGCAGATCTAGCCCTCATCTACCTCTACAGCTTGTCTCCCACTACTTTTCTTTCGAACACTCTTTTGAAGGTAAACTGGTTTATTCATTGTTCCCCAAAAATAACACGTGCAGTCCTCCTGTGCCTTTGTTCAAGCGAGTCCCCCGGGTGTGGAACGCCCTCCCCTTTCCTCTCCAGTTGTCTGAATCCTGGCTTTTTCTTCTAGGTCTCTCCAAAAGTCCCATCTTTTGGGGGAATGACCACTCTTCCCTCAGAACTCCAATAACACTCATTGCCCATATCATTCTTTTGGTGTTCAGCATGTGACAACAAGTATTGTTTATCTTTTTATACGTATGTTCTGTCTTTCTAAGTAGATTGTGAGCCCTTTGAGAGCCAGGTCTGAGTTATACTCTTTATGGTAACAGTGTCTAAGCACACTGTCTTGCAAAGTTATTGAGTGCTGATAATGATGTTATACAAACCATACAAAATAAAATAAGTAACACTTACCTAAAATTTTATTTCAGACAGCCTTGATTGAGGTATGGACCTAAGTGATTCTAGAGCGGTTAGCTCAGTTTGTTAGAGCATAGTGCTTAATGAGATTCTAATGAGACTAAACCTTATGGAGTTAGTCTTTTTGTGGGCCACTGAGTTTCATAGAAAGGAACAATAGTTCTGTAGCCACAGACTACACTCTTAAATCCCCATAATTAATAAGACAGTGTGATGTAGTGGAAAGAGCATTGAAATTGGAAGAAGATGATCTGGTCACAACTCTTGGCTTGGTTACTTGCTGCCTGTAATGATTTTGAACTAATCACATCCCTTCTCTGGACCTCAGTATCTTCATGTGTAAAATGTGGGGATTAAACTTTGTCACATGATTTCTAAGCATCTTTGGAAAAGACTCTTAAGTCCTGTGATTTTGATGGAAACCAGGCCATGATGAAATGTGGCTGGTACATTTTTTTCTTTCCTTCCCCCATTCAATCAGGGTACTGAGTATTGTATGTTAGTTAACAGTAATGTAGTTAGAGAATTTCTCTGTAAGTTATTGTTAGGTGAGAGTGGTAGATAGTAGAAATATGGTAGATGGCATAGTGTCTTGTCATTGTTTCTTTCTGCAGGTAAATCAGCTTAATATAGGTGTTTCACATATCCTGTTAACTATCTATTCTCTTCCTTATCCCTGGAAATCCTTTTTTTTGATATTCGTACTCCATTACCTCTTTGTGTTAAGGACGTGATCCTAGGCTTTTTAAGGCTTTGCCAGTGGACCATAAAATCCTTCCATGTTGGAAATACTTCCTGTTTGATTTTTTTAATTAAATTTATTTTTTGTTTCAACATTCACTTTTATAAGATTTTGAGTTGTAATTTTCCCCCCCTCAAGACAGCATGCAGTCTGATATAGGCTATATGTGTGTAATCATATTAAACATATTTCCCTTAGTCATGTTGTGAAAGAAGAATCAGTAAAAGGGCAAAACCACGAGAATAAAAAAAAAAAGAGAAAATAGTATGCTTCGATCTGCATTCAGATTCCATAGTTCTCTTGATGTGGATAGCATTTTCCACCATTCTTTTGGGATTGCCTGACGTTACTGCATTGTTGAGAAGAGTTCAGTCTATCAGAGTCAATCATCACACGGGGTGGCTGTTACTGTGTACAACGTTTTCCTAGTTCTCATTTCCCTCAGTATCAGTTCATATAAGTCTTTCCAGGTTTTTCTGAAGTCCACCTGCCCGTCATTGCTTATAGCACAATAGCACCATTACATTCACATACCATAACTTGTTCAGCCATTCCCCAGTTGATGGGCATCCCCTCAGTTTCCAATTCTTGGCCACCACAAAAAAGAGCTGTTATAAACATTTTTGTACATGTAGGTCCTTTTCCCTTTTTTATGATCTCTTTGGGATATAGGCCTAATAGTGGTATTGCTGGATCAAAGGGTATGCACAGTTTTATAGCCCTTTGAGTGAAGTTCCAAATTGCTCTCCACAATGGTTGGATCAGTTCACAACTCCACCAACAGTGCATTAGTGTTCCAATTTTCTCACATCTTCTCCAACATTTATCATTTTCCTGTTTTGGAAAGATTTCCTGTTTGGACCTGAACTTCTAACACTAGTCTATCTAAGTTTGCAGATGCATCTCATGAAGTTGCCAGCCAGGTGATGAATTTTCCTTCTACAGCAACTCTAAAAGCCCAGTCAGCTTCTAAAGCATAGAAGAATTGTGATCTGTATAGATGGAGGGAGTTCATACACCCACAAAATAATTGATTCTTGCATTACTTACTTTGTTCGTAGGGCAGGTAATGTAAGATTATTTTTAAAAGGAAAAAAAGGTAGTTAAGTTTACTGTCATTAATTAAACCTAGAAAAAATTGTGATTATGCTTTTGATTTTAAGAAGTAGGCTTGAATGGTGGATATTTTGTGTAGGCAAAATTCTTACTGTTAATGTCCTATTTGTAACAGGTACTTAAAAATGGTAACCAAAGTTACTATATTTGAGGCATTTGAATCTAAATTCTGCATTTTCTGGTAAAGTATAGGATAATGTTTAGTTTTAATGAAATCATCACTTTGAATTTTAAAATGGAAGGTGGCCAAGCAAATTAGTAAAATAGTTTCTCAGCTAGCCTATGAATTAATAGTCATTAACATTTACATAGGGTTTTAAGGTTTGGGAAGTACTTTACATATTCTCACAGCAAGCTTGGGAGGTAGGTGTCATTATTATCTCTTTTATTACAGTTGAGGAAACTGAGGAGAGAGGTTAAGTGACTTGCCCAGAGTCATACAGCTAGTGATTGTCTGAGGCAGGATTTGAACTTAGGTCTTCCTGACTCCAAGACCAGCTCTCTATCTACTACGCCACCTTGCTGTCTCATGTAGGTAAATTAAACTTGGATTTAAAAAAAAAAAAAATGGTTTCCTATCATTTTCATAACCACAGGTCCCATGAACAAAGTTTTAAATTTGTTCTTGTGAAAATGTAATTTCAGCTTTGTATCCATTGACGATTTGGAAAAATTTTATGTAGTGATAATTCACATAAATAAAAATATAATGAATTGTCATACATTGTTTCCATCTTAGTTTTTTAAAAATGAAACTTCCCAAAGACCTGACAGCTGACAGCTTTTCCTAACTTGAAAAAACAATACTTTGCAATATAAGCTTAATAAAATCTCAGGAAACACTTAACAGTGAGATATGCCAAGTGACTAAGATCCCAAATGAAGTTTTAAACTTCAAAAACAAAAATAATTTGTTCACCTTTCTCGTTCTTTATCTGTAGGTTTGTTATTGTTTTTATACGGTAATAGTCAGTGTTAACCATTTTTATAGTTCTGCTTGTTTTATGTTAATTTGTATGTCTCCATACATTTATATTTATATTATTTTCCTGTTCCTGTTTACTTGATTTTGCACCAATTCATATAAGTCTTAACATCCTCTATATAAATCATATTTATTGTTAATATTCCATTACATTAATTTACCACATTTTGTGGCTATTTTCACTCTATGGCCATCTACTTTATTTCCTTCTTTGCTACCACATTTATTTTACTATAAATATTTTCATGTATCTGGGACTTTTTGTCATCAACCTCCTTGGGATATATGCCTAGTAGTGGAATCTCTGGGTGATGGGTTACTTCCCATGACTGTAAAAGCTTTTCTTTCTTTTTCTTAAAGTTTTATTGATGTCTTTGGTTTTTATCTGTCATTTCTGGGTCTCCTTCCTACTACCCTCAGCTAGTGAACCTTCTCGTGTAACAAAGAAGGATAAGCCAAACAGCCTATGAAGTGGCCATGGCTGTGAATATCATATTTAACATCTCCGAGTCTCCATTTCTCTATCAGGAGAAGGGAGGAGGTATGTTTCCTTTAATTTTCTGGATAAAATTTTTCACCAGACTTTAGGTCGCTTTTAGGGTATTAGAAAAAAAGGTAAAGAGAGAAAAAAACACTGACAAAAATTGGTTCATGAGTGAATTTTTATTGCATCAATTCCTAGAAATGACTAAGTAATGCTTATTAGAAAAATGTGTTGTTAATGCTGAAAAGCTTTTTTCCTTCATGCCTAACAGAATGTTATTAAAATCTTTTTAATGATAACTTTTGTTTTTGTATCACCTTCATTTCCTAATGTATCCCTTTCTCCCAGCCAGAGAGCTCAATCCCTTATGACATGGAATAAAAAAAAAGAGGAGAAAAAATAGCAGTTCTGCACAACTAGCACGTTGATGGAAGTCCACGAGTGTTACTGTGTTCCATAGTCCCCCACCTCTGGGTACCACATGGCTGTGCTCCGGGCCCTCCTCTTTCTCTGCATAATATTTGACTTGGTGACCTCATCAGCTTTAATGGATTCAATTATCTCCATACTGATGATTCTCAGATCTACTTATTCAGGCCTAACCTCTCTCCTGACCTCTACTCTCTTATCTCCAACTGCCTATTGGAAATCTTGAACTGGATGACCTGTAGATATCTTACTCTTAATATGTCTAAAGCATACCTTTCTGCCCAAGCCCTCTTTTCTTCCTAACTTTCCCATTACTGTTGAAGGCACCACCATCTTTTACAATTTAATTGTCATCCTGACTCCTCCTTCTCTGTCACCTCCAGTGTGTTGCCAATTCCTTTCATTCTTACTTTGTAACGTATCTTGTATACATCCCCTTCTCTCCTCTGATATTGCCGCCAGCCTGGGTGCAAGCCCTCATCACCACTCACCTATACTGTTGTGATTGTAATTAGTCCAGTAGCAGCAAGCCTGCTGGTTAGTCTCTGACCACTTCAGTCAATGCTCCTCTCAGCTGTCAAATTGATCTCCCTAAAGTGCATGTCTGACCACATCTAAACTCCATTGGCTCTTTGTCACCTCCAGGATCAAATATAAAATTCTCTAGTTGGCATTTAAAGCCCTTTATAACCTGACTCCCCTCTCCCCCTTTCCACTGCTTATGCCTTACTCTGTTTTCTCCCCTCTCCCCCCAATAATCTGTGATCCTGTGACACGGGGCAGCTAGGTGGCACGGTGGTTAGAGTGCTGGGCCTG